CGAGTTGTGACAAAAGCCTTTGCAAGGGGATTCAAGTAGATGGGAGCCATACCCTTAAGCACTTTGTAGGCTAGCATCAGGGACTTGAATTTGATACGGGCAGCCAGAGGTAACCAGTGGAGTTCAATGAACAGAGGGGTGACGTGAGATTTTTTGGGCTGATTGAAGACCAGACGCGCCGCCGCGTTCTGGATCATTTGTAAAGGTTTTACTGTACAGGCTGGGAGACCAGTCAGGAGTGCGTTGCAATAGTCTAGGCGGGAGATGACCATAGACTGCACCAGGAGCTGGGTAGCATGTTGTGTTAGGTATGGCCGGATCTTTCTTATGTTTAGTAATGCGAAGCAACAGGATCGAGAAACAGAGGCAACGTGATCTTTAAAGGTCAGCTGGTCATCAATCATGACACCCAAGTTTCTTGCTGCCTTTGATGGAGTCAGAGAGAGGGATTCAGTTTGGATGTGAATATTGTGGTGAATAGTTGGTTTGGCTGGAAAGACAAGCAGTTCAGTTTTTGAGAGATTCAGCTGGAGGTGGTGGGCTTTCATCCATTTTGATATGTCAGAGAGACAGTCTGAGATGCGTGCTGAGACCGAGTGGTCATCAGGTGGGAATGACAGATAGAGCTGTGTATCATCAGCATAGCAGTGGTAGGATAAACCATGTGATTGAATGATCTGGGCCAAAGAAGTGGTATATATAGCAAAGAGAAGAGGTCCAAGTACTGAACTTTGAGGAACCCCTGTGGCGAGGTGGTGCGCTGCAGAAGTGTGACCAAGCCAGGATACTTTAAATGATCGACCAGTGAGGTACGATTCAAACCAGGAGTGTGCTCTCCCTGTGATGCCCATACTCGAGAGTATAGACAGAAGGATGTCATGATTGACTGTGTCAAATGCGGCTGATAAGTCAAGAAGGATAAGTACTGAGGACTTGGCATTTGCTCTTGCCTCTTTTAGGGCTTCTGTCACAGACAACAGAGCCGTTTCAGTGGAGTGGCCACTTTTAAACCCAGATTGATTTGTATCAAGAAGTTTGTTTTGTGAAAGGCAGTCTGTGACCTGCTTAAAGACTGCCCTTTCAATGGTCTTTGACAGAAATGGAAGCAGAGAAACTGGCCGATAGTTTTCCACCTGAGTTGGTGGGAGAGAGAGTTTTTTGAGCAGCGGTGTGACCAAAGCTTGCTTGTATGAGTTAGGAAATGTGCCAGATGTCAGCGAAGCATTGATCACATGTGTGACTGCTGCAGTAACTGTAGGAGCTATGGACTGGAGTAAGTTTGTAGGAACTGGGTCCAGCAGGCATGTAGTAGGACGGCTACATGTGAGAAGTTTGGACACATTGCTCTCAGTGAGAGGAGCGAAGGAGGAGAACAAAGCAGTAGGACTTCTGCTTGTATATGTACTATGAGAAGTTTCATGTGCAAGCCGTTCAGTAAACTGTTTGCCTATAGCTGCCACTTTGTCAGTAAAAAATGAGGCGAACGAGTCTGCCGTTAAGCTAGTAACAGGTGGCGGAGGAGGAGGGTTAAGCAGATTTTTGAAGATGGAGAATCATTTTCGAGTGTCGGTTGTACTGTGAATCTTATCAGTATAGAAAGTCTTTTTTGCATCAGTGATGCTTAAAGAGAATGCAGACAGCAGTGCCTGAAATTTTGTTAGATCATCTGGATTTTTTTATTTGTGCCATTTTCGTTCTGCAGCTCTAAGGCTGGTGCGTAGTGCTCTGAGTGTATCATTGAGCCATGGGTGGGACCCAGAGGCTTGAGCAGGTTTAGTGGATAGAGGACATAGACTATCCAGGCAGGAGCTCAATGTAGAGCAAAGGGTCTCCGTGGCCTCATTAACCTCAAATGAGGAAAATGTGCTGGAGTTTGGGAGAGCGGACGCAACATGGGAGGAGAAGTGGGTAGGTGAGAGTTTGTGGAGGTTTCTGCGGAGGGAAACCACAGAGGTGGAAGCAGAGGGATTTTTGGGAAGATTTGCACTGAGTTGAATGAAATAGTGATCAGAAAGGTGCAGAGGTGTGACAGAGAGGGCCTCTATAGCACATTTTCTTGTGAAGATGAGATCAAGTGCTTTGCCAGCTTTGTGAGTTGGACTGCTGACCATTTGTAGGTCAAAGGAGTTCATTAGTGAGAGGAAATCAGAGGAGTTAGCGCAGCCAAGGTAGATATTCATATCACCAAGGATCATTGTGGGACAATCATATTCATGGATGGAGGAAAGTAGGATATCGAGTTCATTTAGAAAGTCGCCTAGTTGCCCTGGTGGGCGATACATAACAGTCATGCAGATTTTGACTGGTGCAGTAACCAAGATGGCATGGTATTCGAAAGTATTGTATTTGGCATTAGGCATTAGTTGGTTGTATTTCCATTTGTTGGAAATTAGCAAGCCTGTTCCACCACCTCTCCCAGATGTACGAGAGGTGTGGGAGAATGTGTGGTTAATTGAAAGTGCAGCCGGGGTAGCGCTGTTTTCAGGCTTAATCCAGGTCTCAGTGAGAGCCAGGATGTCAAGTGACAGGTGTTTGGCATAAGCAGTTATGAAGTCAGCTTTGTTTACTGCTGATTGGCAGTTCCACAACCCCACAGACAAGGGTGTGTCACAGGGGGAGGTTTCATTAAGAGAGCGGAGGTTGTGAAGGTTGCGGTACCGTTTGATAATGCGAGACCTTCTGCATGAGGTAGTGACAACAGGAATGGAATTGTATTTGTGGCACATTGTGGAAGAAGGTGGTATGGCTGCAGCTACAGCGGAATGGCACTGGGACAAAATTGCCTTGTGCATACAAACATAAAAACCACAATGTAATTTTAATTCTTCAATTTTCCCAACTTCAATTCAATTTTGAATTTAATCAGTTCATTTTTTATGAGTTAATGACAAGATTAATCTACAGTTAAAAAAAAAACTGGGAAAAAAAACTGGAAAAAAAGGAAAAAAAAGAAAGAAAAAAAGATTAATCTACTGTTTCACCAAGCATTTTTACATTTATGTCGTAACTGATTCTCTTTTTTTTTATCATGCCAATAAATGACTCACAAGGTTTGTTGTCTGTTTTAGCTTCTGAATCATGAACTTTGGATAATAGATTAAGAACGTAATGCTAGTTGACATTCAAAACAATATCAAAGGCTAGGGACTGCTCTTTCCTTTTTTATGATCTGTCTTTTTGACTATATCAACAAAGTTGAAAAGGGTCAAATGGGTTTCCATGGAAGATGAACCTGTTTTTAGTGAATTTTGGTTCACTCTTCATCATATGAACATCCTTTAATATTAGGAAGTATTATTTATGACAGATGTAAAATCCCTATACCCCAGTTTTATGTGCAAAAAGTTTAAGAAAAGTTGGTTCCCTTTTATCATTGTTCTTTAATGAAGAGCAACTTAACAAAGAAAACATGCAAGCAGTCAAGAAGTATACTGGGAAGCATCCAGGTTCTCTTCTTCTCACTGTGCCTCTGTCTGGCGAGTCCAGACAAGCCTGCAATACAAGGTGAGGATGTTTGTTCTTCACCTCGCTACAGCTGGATCAGCGAGCAAGTTAAAGATGTTTACCTTTGGCTCACATTGAATAAGATCTGGTAAGATGGAAAAAAAATCAATCTCTCTTCCACTCCCCTTTCCCACACACGCACACAACTTTAGATCAAATTCTTCCAACATTTGGGAGTTGTAGGTTATCACGAATATGTTTTTGATACAGCTGCCAGGTAAACATCAAGCTAATGATGATAATGTGTAGTTTTTTCTAATTATGGTTATGTTTTAGGATGTTATAAGGGAATTGCCACCTTTATATTCATACTTGGAATGCATTTTGTGGTAAATAATTCAAAAGCTTAATAATTTTTCCTGAAGTTTTACATGTGAAAATGTAGTTGTGCATTTGCATTTTAGTTTATGATGGACTACATTTAAGAAACACTTCAGGAGATTTCAATATTTGAAAAGATGGGATTTGGTGTGTGTGCACATGCGGTGTAGTGGGGAGGAAAGGGTTTGATGGAGCCTTTCTATCTTAAATATCGGCGGCCATTTATCCCGTTCACAGAAATAATTTGATAGTGTGTTAATAGTTGAGATTGAGATTGTAACAGTAAAACAGCCTCAACGTCTCATGACTACGGTTCTTGTGGTGGCCTGCTGTCTGTCACTTTATCCCTGCTCCCCTGGAAGTCTCTCCAAGTAACTGCTAAAATTGTGACTTCTACCGGAGATGCAAAAACACAGAGGTGAGGTGAGTGGAGTCATCCTGAGACTTTCTTAAAGGTCTCTGAACATCTGAAAAGGCTTTTGGGTCAGACAGCAAGTTGGTCAGCCAGAAACTTGTCATGTTTAATTAGAATTTTCATTTTCTCATCCAACTTTTTTTTTCATACCTGCTGCATTACATTAAATGATGTGGTGTTATTACCTTTCTATGCACCAGTGCAAAAACAGCATTTCTTAAGCAACTTGCTTAATAGAAAATGTCTGCAAATATACATGACCAAGTCGAAAAGGCTACCTCTACTGAGTATCTGTGCCAGGATGCATTTCTAAGAATTTGGGATCATTGGGTGTATGGTTATGGTTGAAGTGGAAGAACAGTTTGAGAGAAGCAACTGCTGTGCTCTGTAAAGTGGCCACGTTATGTGGTTCAGCTTCAGCTTTGGCCCAGCTGCTTGGACTTTTCTTTGAACTGACTTCACAGCTTCTTGAAAAGCTATTTAGAGTCCTGGAGGGAGTAAACATGGACCAGGTCATAAAATTGAAAAAGAAGAACAAATAACAATTTATCAATGTTTAGTGAAAGAAAATTGTCTTTGCATTGCAAACTAATGAGGAAAATAACTTGGTTGCAATACAGTAGCCTTGGTTCAGTTGACAAAGTTTTATAATAACAAAGATAGAGATGCCAACCCCCAATGATGGATGATGACCTGATGCCATTTTCTCAAATACAGTGGGTACTGGGGGTGGGAATCTTTTTCCACGATTCGATTCAGTTTAGATCTTTGACATGGACTTCCAGCTGGTCCTCCTTTGTAAAGGAAAGGCAGGGCTTTGAATCTGGGATCCAAAAAGGAAGCAGTTACTTGCACTTATCCTGTACACAAGTATACATTTTTATAAGATCTTCATGGATTGCCAGTTTGATGTCTTGAATAACTGGCATGTTAGCAGCAATGCCAGCAGCTTCTGTGTCAAAGGAGCAATAACTGAGAGTGTATACGTAGAATCTTCTAACATGATATGGGTTACATCTTTCATTGATTGCAGCACTGTTGCAATTTCCACAGCAGTGGAGACGTCCATGTCATTTAGTGTGCACATGTGGCTTCCAAATCTTTTTGCTACTCTAGGAATTGCTCAATCATGTCCTGTGTGCTTTTCCAGCGATAACGGTTTTCAGTTATTTGAACTGGTAACTGTAGAAGTTTCTGTTTCTCCTGCAGTTCATGGTTTGCAATGGTGCTATGGTGAAAGAAACTGGTGATTCACCTGATCCTCCCAAGCAGTTGTGACACTGTTGTTGGCTTCAAGGCTTGCTGAGTAGCCATGTTGAGAGTATGGGCAAAATATGTAATGTTTGCCAAGTTGTCAGTCTGTGTAGTGGCAAGCATATTTGCAGCATTATTAGCCACAATCACCAGATATGCAACAGTAAGCTCCCATTCATCAGCAATGGCATGATACATTTCATTGACATTCGCAGCTTTGTGGCTTTCCTGCATCATATGAGTTTGCAAAACACAGGATTTGAGCAGCCATGTATAAGTTGTATAAAGAGCGGTAAATGTCACAAATTACTGGGTGGCTCTTGATTACTATGCGTTGCATGTTAGTGGCACTCTGGTCCTTTTATTCCTGGTGACATTTCTTTTAGTTTTAGTGGCTGATTCTGGTCCGTGCCATTCAACTCTGGGTGATGACGTGTCATGTGAGCCTGTGCAAATGACGTGTTTCCGAAGTGCTTAATTTTAATTTCGCAAACCATGCACACTGTAAAGTTCATGTCAAGCTTGGTCATCCAGTTCATTTTGGAAAAACAAAAATGTCTCCACATCTTTGTCTTTAGTGGGGCCTGTTGACTCACTCTTGCTTCCATTTTTTTGTTTTGTTTCTAGAACCAGCTAGCTGGTTGACGTCTCACGTTGTTAAAATATGGAGGCCAACTGACTGCATATTTGTTTTCTTTTTTTAAATTTTTTAAATTGATTTTTATTAATTTTATATTGATTCTGAATCGTGGGTAATTTGTGAATTGCAATGCTTGTGTGAATCTACTTTTTGGCAGAACCAAATGTGTAATGTTCACCAGTTTACCATTACATTGGACACCAGTGTAAGGGTTAAGATTCAAATTAGCGTGTCATTTTCCAAGTAGGATTAACATTCAGATTATGTCGTATTTGATGTAGAAACTGTCCATCAACAAATCATTCAATAGTAGTTAAATATTGACACCAACCACTAAGCCACTGATATAAAACCTAGAGGAAGAGAGCCAGAAGATTTAATCTTTGCCATTAATGATCGTTAGATTGCTTGGAATTCTGCTCGTAACTTGTGACTGATCCACCCTCCCCGCTCTCTTCTAGCAGCTGTGTTGATTGTCTTGTGCATGGGAACACTTGATTACACTTCTGAATGTACATTCGAGCTGAGCCTGGCATCCAGTTCTACGCACCTTCCTGGGCCTCCACACACTAAGAAAAGGTTTCTTTACTTTTTTTTTTTAAAGATTTTTTTGGCTCTAGTGGCCTTTAATGACAGTAGCTTGACAGGAAAGGGGGCAGAGATAGAGAGGGGGAGACCTGCAGGAAAGGGCCATGGGCTGGAATCAAACCCAGGCCGCCCGCTTGTGAGCAGAGGCTCCGCATATGGGCCGCCCGCTCTAGCCATTAGGCTACAGCTGCGGCCCAAGGTTTCTTTACTTTGATCGTGGAAAGTTGTAAATGACTGTTGCTCCATCAAACAGAGCCTTGAGTTATTCACCTGGCTTTATTAGCCTGATTAATGGTTAGATGTTTATCTGTGCCGCAGTCAGTCCATCTAAAGACGCCTCTGGCAGCCAGCTCAAGTCCAGTCAGCACTGTGTCTTTGGACAATCCTATTTTGCTGGATCATTAGCTTCAGCTGCAATGGCTGTGGACAATGTTTTCATTAAAGTTTATGATTTGTTTATTCTACTAATCTGTTGTGTTTCTTTATGCGATTGTTAGGGAGGTGTTGGAAAAACACATCTCTATGTGAAAATGAAATGCAGGTGTTATAAAATGACATCATTGGAAAAGGCCTAGTTGGAAGTGGCCCTCGAGCCAAATTATGTTTTTCTTGAAAATTCTCTACTTTGTGATTGATTATCAACCCTGCATTGTATAATGAAAATTCATATGAATGTTTAGGGATGATATTTATGATGGAAAACTGTGAGTGCTTTTTAAATGAAGTCTTAGTGATCAATAACAGAAGGTCAAAAGTCAACATCTTTATCTTGACTTTCTAAGGTATTTCAATTGGTTGAAATCGGTAGTAGGTACTGTATTTCCATTAGAGTTGGCCTAATTTATTAGGTTTAATATCCCTACCATGTACAAGCCATCGAGTGTGGTATGGAGATCAACCCATAAAAGTACAAATAAAGTTCAAATAGAACACGAATGACGACATGTAACCGTTTGTAGCAGGGGAAAGGTGGACTCACTCGCAATCTTCCGGCGCTTCAACCTGCATGTTTTGTTGTAAATGGAATGCAGGTTGGGGAGGGTGGCTCTAATGGTACACTCAGCCAAGCAGACCACCCTCCTTAGGGCCAAGAGGTTATCCTGGGTGCTGCTGCCTATCCATGTGGTAATACTCCCAGCAAAAACATTCTCAATGGTGCAAGTGTAAAAGTTTCTGATAACTTTGAGACAGAGGTTGAAGTTCCTCATGCATTTCAGACCTTGTTCACCAGGGTGTTGATGTCAACAGAACAAATCGCTCTGTTGACGACACTATCAACCTCAGTCTCCACCACACACTGATGCACCTGGACCAGCCAAGCTCCTACGTCAGGGCCCTGTTTGTGGATTACAGCTCCGCCTTCAACATCATCCTCCCAGACCACTTGCACAGCAAACTACTTCAGCTACACGTTCCCAGCACCATCTGTGAGTGGATCGGTGACTTCCTCACCAACAGAAACCAGCAATTGCAGATTGGCAGCTTCTTGTCGGCCTCCCTCACCACCAGTGCTCCACAAGGTGTCCTCTCCCCCTACTTGTTCTTTCTGTACACCAATGACTGCCTCTTCAGCCACTCATCCATCAAACTGGTCAAGTTTGCTGATGACACCACAGTCCTGGGCCTCATCAAGAACAACGATGAGACGGTGTACAGGGACACGGTGTCACAGCTGGCAGAATGGTCTGCACGCAACAACTTGGAACTCAACGCCAACAAGACGTTGGAGAAAGTCATTGACTTCCACAGGCATCCTTGCCTGACTTAGCCACCCCCCACTTCTCATCAACAGCTCTGCAGTTCAGGTGGTAAACTCTTGAGAAGTTCCTGGGAACGACCATCACCAGCAACCTCAAGTTGGAGACACACTCAACCAAGGTCATCAAGTGGGCGCATCAGAAGATGTTCTTTCTCAGATTGCTCTGCAAGATGAATGTCTCACCCAAGGTTTACTCTCACTTCTACAGAGCCACCATTGAGAGTGTCCTCACCTCCTCCATCACTGTGTGGTTTCCTGCATCCTCTGCCTACACCAAGAGCAGACTGGAGCACAGTGTGCACACAGCGAGCTACCTAACATTTCTCCAAAAGGAGCCTGTATTTGTTCTGCATCATAGAAGATGCCAGTAGAGGGCTAGGAGGATTGTGGGGGACCCATATCACCCAGCCTACTCCCTATTCTCACCCCTTCCATCCGGTCCATGGTTCAGAACCGTCGGGACCAAAACCACCAGGCACCTTCTTCCCCCAGGCCACCACCCTCTTAAATAAAGACATCACCACCCTCCAACCATTTTTACAGTTAGTTAAAGATATGGACACCTAAAACACACAAATTTATCATATCAAATGTTTTATTTAATCTGTCATTTTGTGCTGGGATACCATGTCAAATGTCAAATTCCTATATACTCAGTACATTTGGCTAATAATGTGATTTCTGATTCTGAATAACATTGATAAGATGGCCCATTTAAATACACATGGAAACTCAATGATGTGCTTGGTATTGACTATTTATGGTGGAAAGTAGGTGTGTAGAAAGTGGAACATGAGTATAGATGCAGCTGTGTACATTCTTGTCGACACGTATTTTTATAAATCTGAATTTTTTGGCACTCATCTTGGTCATTACCATTGTGTTATAGACTGACACTGTTCCCAGTCCACGATAAAGTCCCCAGATGTTCCTCTACTGCAGCTATTACTTCAGCTTCTTCCTTCACCTCTGTTTGGCCTTCTTCACAGATCTGTGGATACTGTACGTAGCATCTGTTACAGGTCCATGACTTGGGTAGCAAGTCCTAAGATGTATGCAGTAGCGCGGGACTTCAAAGAGTCATTGACGCCTTTATTAATCCATGGTTTCTGATTGAGAAAATTCCAGATGGTTCTTATGGGGATAGTATCTTCCACTGGCTTCCCAGTGAGGTAAACAAATGTCTCCATAAACACACGGACGTCATCACCAGGCCAGTCCACTGTCTGCAAGGTGTCCTGCAGGGGGGCTTCTGAATTGTCAGACCAAAACATCACTTTTTTCTCTACTGTTTGCCTCTGCTGCTGTTCCTGAGTGGAAGGGGAATTGAGTCGTGGTCTAACCTGCCAAATGGTTGATGGGGTTTTGCTGCGTAGGCATATCTGAAGGGAGAATGACAATAGTGTAAAGTTCTGTTTCCTTTGGTTTAGCATGTGATGTGCTTGCAAAGTTCTGGCATCACCAGGGTGGCACTGTTAAAATCCTCCGCCACAATGAGGGCTGCGTCTTGCCAGTGGTTAGCCTGGTATCTAGACATGGCCTGATCGGCAAATGCTGTGTCCTTGTCCGCCTGCGGGTGGATGTAGACTGCGCTAAGAACAACAGAGATGAATTCCTGGGGTGGTAAGAAGGCCAGAACTATGGTTAAAAGTTCCTGGTTGGGCAAGCATGACTTAGAGAGATAACATCTCTGCACCAATTGTTGTTTGTCAGGAGAAAGACACTCTGACCTGCCTGACCTAGCCACTGACTCTGCTGGTTAAACATCATGGTCCAGCATGGTTGAAATCAGCCATGTCTCCATGATGCAGATGATGTTGGAGTCTGTTATGTCCCTCTGGCATGTTATCCTGGTTCTGAACTCATCCATCTTATTGTATACTAGACGTTCAAAAGCAGGATGCGAGGCAGTTGTGGTCTGCCTCAACCTGTTCTAATTGCTGGCTCAATTCCCCCAGGGCATACTATGCTGCTGGCGTCCTCCATTGTTGTTGGGGGGTCACCAAAAGATCTCAGAGGGCAGGAATGCATTCAATGTAAAAGTTAGACTTAGACTTAGACTTAGACAGTACTTTATTGATCCCTTGGGAAGACTCCCTCAGGAAATTAAGGTTACCAGCAGCTTAAAGGGCAAACGGTGTCAAGTTAGAATCAAATCAAGCAAAAATATACAAATAAATAAATAAAAATACAAAAAATACAGATTAAGTACAGTGTATGTGTATGTGATATCTCTTCCCCCTGTCCTGTGTCACCTCCTCGCCCCCAGTGAGGCGTTGTACAGTTTGATGGCGTGGGGGACAAAAGAGTTCTTAAGTCTATTGGTCCGGCACTTGGGAAGCAGCAGTCTGTCACCGAACAGGCTCCTCTGGCTGCTGATGACGGTTTGCAGAGGGTGGCTGCTGTCGGCCATGATGTCCATCAGTTTGTTCAGTGTCCTGGCCTCTGCCACCGTCACCAGAGAGTCCAGCTTCATGCCGACCACGGAGCCGGCCCGCCTGATCAGTTTAACCAGTCTGGACGTGTCCTTCTTGGATGTGCTACCTCCCCAGCACACCACGGTGTAGAAGAGGACACTGGCTATCACAGACTGGTAAAACATACACAGTAGTTTGCTGCAGATGTTAAAAGACCGTAGTCTCCTGAGGAAGTACATCCCGCTCTGTACCTTCCCGTACAGGTTGCTGGTGTGTTTTGACCAGTCCAGTTTGCTGTCCAACCACACCCCAAGGTACTTGTAGGAGTCCACGGCCTCCGCCTCAGTTCCCTCTAGTACGACTGGTCTCGGCTTTGGTCAGTGGGTTTAGGGATAGACCAATAATCACCAGAGTCTCTGTCGTATTTTGACATGACCAGGAAACGACATGGTGAGGAGAAAAGATAAATGAAAAAGTTCAAAACAATTAAAAATGTCATGAAATTGCTGGAGCAAACACAACGGCCATTGCACTCCTGGGAACCACTTGACGTAAGAAATTCCAGTGATAATCCACCTGGCTTCACTCTAAACAGATTATTAGATGAGAAATACACAGTATGCTTATTGATTGGGACTTTAATGAAGCAGAAGGACTCTTGAGTTCTCAGCATGGATGGGACTCGGATCAGATGTTGTGTTCATTTAGTTTTTGCAGGAGGGTAATATTACATAGACTTTCTTTGTCAGTGTACTGTAGTGCAGCTTTCTGTCATCATTTCTTTCGTTTCCTTTATTGCTCATGAGATTATATAATTTTCAGATTGTTGTCACTTTACTTTGAGATAGACCCATTCAATAATAAAAAGATTCCAAGCTGAGCAAACCAACAGATAACACTGGATTATATGGATATCCTTAAAATTCTGTTATCGTTCGCACTTTTCAATTCAAAGAAATTTGAACAAATTATTTGTCTCTGTGACAGCTTGCTCATGACAAAGTGACTAATGATACATTTTATGAAGAAATAGCATGCCTTATTTTATTCATCCAATGAAAAATTGTCCTGCTATTTTTCCCAACAAAATAAGAAAATAAAGCCCGGGGAAAATGTGTATTCATAACAGCAATGCATCTTTCTTTTAGTCTGCATTTTCTGGCATTTTGGATCCTCTTTGCTCTATTGTCGTTGAGTTCTGCTGGTGGTCTCTCATGTAAACGCCTCTCAAAGGGGGATCTTCTTCACACCTATTGAAGAGCTCCCTCTTATTCCTTTGGCTCTGTGTCTCTTTTCTGTGGTCAAACTTTTGACTGGCTGTGTCTGTTGCGCATCCTCTTTCTTTTTCACTTTTCCTATACTCATCACACACACACACACACACATACACACACACACACACAATCAAACTCAAACTGGCAGTGAATCCCAGTGCAGAGCTAATCGTGTATTGGGGTTTTAGGTGTCAGTGGGGAGGAAGGACCCTGCTGGCTTGCTGGCGTCTCTGACCTCTCTGTCACAATGGGTGTCACTCCCCTCCTACTCATTTCCCTGCCAAGCTGGGAAGAGTAAATATTTATCAGCCCCCAAAACAATGGCCAGACTGGGGGAGAAAGACTGACTGGAGCCCAAGCAGGGTGTTTTTGTGAGGCTGATATCATTTGGGGCTCAAAGATGGCTTGCAGGATGGATAAGATGTAGGCTTTACAATATTTAATTACATTCCACAAGTAGCTGCATTGCCCTAACTGCTTTGTGTTATGCATGTTCAGTGTTGCAATACAAACAGGAATTTGTTTTATGTTTGTTTTTGCTGATCAAGGCAACATCATGTGTGTTGAACAATTTATAAAACATTACTGTTCAGCACAGGTTTGGGCTAAAACATGTCACACAATAAACACAAGAAAACACAAAAGTTTATTACAAACTTCCATTTGAAATGAATGTCAGGCACTTAAAGACTTCTATAGTTTTACTTAGGAAAGGTTGTAAATGCCCTTCTCTGATTATGCTCAAGAACGTTTTTGCTTAAAGTTCCTAGTTTGTAATAATAAAAACGTACTACAATTCAAGTTGTAATTTAGTTGTAATTAAGTCTTTAATTTAGTTTCGGAGCATCCAAGACCAAAATGGATAGCGACGTGGTCAGCAAAACTAGAAATTGTCATTCACAGGTAGAGGCTTGCAGGGAAGTTCTGCTGAGTGATGTAGTCTGACAGCTTCAGCTCAGGCTGTGGTAATGCTGGGTTACAGAATCATTAGTTAGGTGCAACTTGCTCTCCTTATATGGAGGTATCTCATGGGTGTTAACCCATATATTTTCTGCTATATGTTAACCCCTCTTATTTCTGACATGCTTATCGTCATAATTAGAGAACACAGACAGTACATCAGCAGATTTGGCAAAGGCAGCAATAAAACCATTATAAATTTGGTTGCTGCTGCTCTGGACCCATCCATATAGCTGTTAATTGGCCCAATATGAATAGTTTTGGCTGAAATCCACAATGACACGCTGATATGGCAAATATGGTGTGAAATTGTGTGGGGTGAAGGGCTGGCAAGGACAAGAATGGTTCTTGCCAGAAATCTGCCAGTTTATGAGAAACTTGACTTCCTTTCTGTGGTTTTTC